GGATGGCAAGGACCTCCTCGGCCGGCCGAGGAGCCTGCTCGATGAGGCCATGCTTCTCGGCATAGTCGAGGATGGTGCCGACCGGGTGAGTGAGGGCAACCCCCGGCCGTTCCAACCTCGGCCGCGAGTGGCGGTCTTTCTTACTTTGTCCACCAGAGCCGTGACGGCCCTGGGCACCCTGGCCGGCCGGGGATGGACCCGGGGCCGGCGAAGGATTTGTCTTCTTGGAGGTATGGCCTCCCTCTTTCTTGTGGTTGTGGAGCTCGTCGGCGTCGGCGTAGAAGCTTCCGCGCTGGAGCGCCTTTGCGTACGACCTTGGAGGATCGGTGATGAGGCTCCTGGCGTACGGGGAGCTGCGTAGGGCTCCCTGGTACAGGACGAGGAGGGTGCGCTCATCGGCCCCCTCGACTTCCTCGGTCTCCCTCGTCCACCGATCAATGAACGACCGGAGGGACTCATCATGTTGCTGCTTGACGGAGAGGAGATGGGTGAAATACTTCTTTGCGCGCTTCCTCCCGGCAAAGTGGGTGAGGAAGCGTTGGGCAAGATCCTGCCATGAGTCAATACTTCCTTCAGGGAGCGCGTTGAACCACTCATACGCTGGCCCCTTAAGAGTAGAGAGGAACCAACGACAGAGGTATTCATCTGACGCGTTCACCATCAGCATGTTGTTCTGATAACGGCTGAAATGTTCCTGGGGGTCTGATCAGCCATCGTAGGACTTGATGGCGTTTCCTCTTTACTTCTCCGGGATGGGGGCCGAGAGCACCCTGTTGGTGAAAGGGGTCCTGGTCCTGACCTGGATGACGGGGTCACCTCGTCCCTCGGCCAACTCCCTCTCTAGGGCGCTGACCTTGTTCATGAGAGCGTTGAGGCCAGGATCGTTGGAGGCGCCGGCCGTGGGGATGTTCGCCGATTGCCTGACCTCCATCTGGGCCAGCCTCCTTTCTAGCTGGGTGATGACCTCGTCCCGGGGGTCCCTGGCGGCCGCAGCGGCGCCCTGCTGGTTTCTCATGCGCTCGTCGTGGGCTGCATTGATCTGGTGGCGCACGTCGTCCTCGTGCAACTTCCCTTTTCCCTTGTCCAGGTGGGGCTGGTCCGCCGTCCGGGACACAGACCCCAAGCTTTCCCTTGGCGAGCCAGGCCGACGCTCACCAATCCGCCCTGCCATCCTCTCCGAAACCGGACGACAGCGCGTGTCACCTAGCCTATTGAAGGCAGAGGCTTTTCCACGCGCTGGGGTCTGCCCAGGCCGAAGAGGGGAAGCGGGGTGGGAGTGGGACGACGCCGTGTCCTGGGCCATCACCCCCTCATCGTTGCCTATCTGGACGGCCAACGGTTGGGGCTGAGGAGGTGGAGTGACGTCCCCCCCGGTCCTTGGCAAGAGAGCGCTGAGGACGGTGGGGTTCTGGGCCAAGCTGGCGATGATGACCGACAGCGCGGCCAGGACCTGTGGATCCACAGACGGAGAGGTCGCGGCCATAGGCTAGGCCGGGGCGTGGTCTGTCTTCTCAGCTCGTTTCTTGTCCAAGCTGATGCGGGCATCAGGGGCTCCGCAGTTGAGTTGGTTGCGAAGGTCCGTCGTGAGGTTGATGGCCTCCTGGAAGACGTCCCCTCCGCCGACCTGGTCGGCCGTAGCATCCTCCTCGTGTTCCCTGGTCTCCTGGTCCTCAGGGATGGCCTTGCTGACGAGGTTGCGGTTTGACTTAGTTCTTCCCATGGTCAGTGGTTAGCTGTGCTTGGTAGCGACGAAGGGTGCTAACTTGATTGTTCTAGCTCTCAATGAAAGCACCAAATGATAGAGTAATTGTCTAGAGAGAAGTGAGAGCTAGAGAGAGAAGTGAAATATATGCTTCAATAGAATGGTTTTGTAACCCCCATAACTACTTCTAGAGGAGGTATTTATAGGAAAAATACGGGCTGGGCTCCCAAGCCTTGGGCTTGGGAGGCCCATTTACAACTGGACCGTTATTGGGCCGAATACAAAGTCACTAGTGGGCTGTACAAATGAGTAAGTGTAAAATCCTGTTTTGTGGGTCTCCCGTGGCCAACGAGGGCTATGGCCGACGAGGGCACGGCCGACGAGGACACCCTGGTTCCTTGGCCTCAAGATCATATTCTGGATCGGCCCCTATTCGGCCGACGAGGGTCTTCTGGCCAACGAGGGCACCGTGTAGTGACTGCTTTCTGTTCTGAGTATGTGGGTCCTGGGGCCTGGACCCATATACTCCATCAGTGACACTCATATCTTGTTGTGTGTTCTTCCATTTAGAGCGTATTATATCTCGTTGGAAAATTAATTTTGAGTTCTAAAGCTATCGTTCCAACTTCATTTACAAAGCATTAAGTAAAAGGTACAGATTAACCATAAATTCACAAATATTTCTGATTCCATTCCGAACTCGTGTAGAATTTGATCTGATCATATCTTGCCCTATTTTGTTCCGTTGAAAGTGTTTTCTCTCTCGTTGGAAAGATCTTATCGTGTTCTAAAACTCGTATTCAGGCGCCTATTTTGAAATATCAAGGGATGATTACCTAATTTTTGAAACAAGACTGTATTTACGCTAAAAGTGCTCTATTTACGCAGAAAACGTTAAATCACATAGATAAGGCTAAGTATTTGTGACACTCATATCTTGTTGTATGTTCTTCCATTTAGAGCGTATTATATCTCGTTGGGAAGATAATTTTGAGTTCTAAAGCTATTGTTCCAAATCCCTCTGATACGCCACCCCCTGGGTACACTATCCATCTCATTGTAAATGAAGTTGGAACAATATCCTTAGAACTCAAAATTATCTTTCCAATGAAATATAATACGCTCTAAACGGAAGAACACACAGCAAGATATGAGTGTCACAAATACCTTATATTTGTCGTATAATAAGATTTATTTCCTTACTTAATAAGGAAGGTTATTTAATAAATCTTCAGGACTTTCAAAACTTTATATATGTAATATTAGTGTTTTATGAAAGATCACATGAATTCATGAATTATGTTATTTTTTTGTAAATATTGAAGCATAAATGAAAAGATTATAGCATTTTAAGAAAAAAGAGTTTATTTATACTCTAGACCTCACAAACAAATTTTCTCCTCCTGTTTTCGGGATAGAATGAGTTGGTTTGTTTTCTATGTTACTCCCTTCGTCCTATAAAATTCTTCTCAATTTTCTTTTTGGTCCGTCCCAAAAAATCTTCCCACTTACCATTTTTGAATAATTTGTGTGGTTCACATTCATTTCACTTTTTTCTTACACAACTACAAGCACACATTTCCACTTTATTCCACTTTCTTAATCTCCGTGTCAAGTCAAAGTGAGAAAATTTTATGGGACGGATGGAGTATTCTTTCTCAAAGGGGAAACCCATCAATTTGCGGCTTTTAATCATTTGATTTGACAATTTGACAATTTTTTAATCATGTTTCACTCCAACAATATTTTGATAAATGTTTTTAATTCGACCTTAATTTCATAAATAATTTTCTCTGTAATATTATTTTGAAAAAATCTTCTTTCATATTAGGTCTGGTGTTTGACTCAGAGCATTAGTGATGGACTCTTCTCTATTATGGGAAGCTCTAACAGAGCACTAAAAGAGGTGTTCCGTGAATTGAAAAAAAAATGAAGAACATTTGTAAAAAAACTAAAAAAAAAGCATATAAATATTGAAATGACATTTTAGGGATTCAGAGTGACGTTATATATATACATATATGAAAAATGCTTAATGTGCATGAGTTGTACACAAATTGTACACAAAACATTTAGTTGTCTGTGTACACAAGCAATTCATTTAGAAAAGAGCAGAATTTGATATCCAATTGTATGTGTACACACACAATGTACACATTTTATGTACTATTTTGTGTACCAAGCATGGCCCATACATATATGAGAGCTTACACTTCAGACCAAAATTTTCAATGCATTGTTAAGGGCCCCAATGAGAGTAAGTGTAAGGCCCACTTCACATAACATGCCAAGTCCAAAGAGTCATCACACTTCAATCATGTACCCCCACTAAATAAAGCATTCCCATGGTACCTGTTCCCTTCCCTTCTCCACCTCTCACCCTTTTCAGCTTAGCACCTCCCAACTTGTTGTGTATGTAAAGAATTAAATATCACTTTCGCACTGTTTAAATCTGTTATTGGTAGCCCAGATTTCAGAATCAGATTCAATCCAAAGACAGATAGATAAGATTATGCTTCCATTTCTAAAGATCAAGATTGCCATTTTACCACCACAACAACTAATATGTCATAAGTTGTGAGTTCCAAATCAAATTGCTTGATAGTTAGCCCTAATTAGAAAAAATTTGGTTTTCTTGGTAAAATGGAAGTGTAAATTAAAACAATCACTTTCTGTGTTGCGCAATAATTCATGAAAATAAAGATTTGTTTTTTTAACTGTGAAATCCAAAATTTGAAGCTCTCTCAGACCAACAGAACTTTCAAAGAGAGATGGTTAGAGAAGGCACTTAAGGGATAGGTGGAATTGTTTCTTTTTGTTCATGGATATATATCTCTTTTAAATTAAAAATATAGAAAAAGTAAAATAAAAATGACTTGTGGCTGCAACTTGCCCCAGCATTTCTCTTCTTGGTAACCCCACTATGTTAACCAACCACCCCATCTCTCTCCTCCAGGTTTGTGCTAGGAATAATTTTTTTTTTTTGATGGTGTGCTAGGAATAATTTTAAATAATCGAAACTCACACAATAATTGGCCGAATAAAATTAAACTTTTTTTCATATATTTGAAAAATAAAAAATTATAATATTATTTTATTATTCACAAATATCTGAGGGTTATTCATATTTAAAGCAGCAAATTCATATATTTTGATTATTATTTTACATAAACTACAACAGTAGTGTGTATCATATATTTGGGTTGTAAAATGTCCAATGTTATCTTTAAACGGAGTAGCTTTTATTTATTTATGGCCTGAAGTTATTCAAGTAATGCTGAAAGCAACCAACACTCAGGGGTTTGGAGAGGATAAGATTCACTCATTTCCTTCATGAGAGAGAGTATACAATTTGTGGTCAAGAAAAGCACAATACTGGGTATGGTGGGTGCTCTGTAGGTGGTGGGAAGGAAGGAGTGTTTCTGGACACAGGGTTCCTAGAATCTTGGAGAGATGTCAAGTGTAGTATGGTTTAGGAGGGATCTGAGAGTGGAAGACAACCCTGCTTTGGCTGCTGGTGTTAGGGCAGGGGCAGTTGTGGCAGTCTTCATATGGGCTCCTGAAGAAGAAGGACACTATTTTCCTGGAAGGGTATCAAGATGGTGGCTTAAGCAAAGCCTGGCTGATCTTGACTATTCTCTGAGGAGCCTTGGGACTACCCTTATCACTAAGAGATCCGCAGATAGTGCTTCTTCTCTCCTTGAAGTTATCAAATCCACTGGTGCCACTCAACTATTCTTCAACCACTTATATGGTTAGTTGCTGCTGTGGAACATCTTTTTTTTTTAAACCTAATCCTTTTAAGTTTAAGTTATCAAACCTATTGTTACTTAAAAGTCTGGTCTAGCTTAACGCTAACTGAGCTCTCAAGAAAAGTGGCAATCTTTGTTCAAATACTTAGTTGTTAACAGTTATATTATTCATTCCTATTTGCTACACCTAGACAACTTTCCAAATAACTTTGTCATTCATATGCTCTAGTTTTTGGTAAGGTGTACATATTATTCATGATATTATCTTGTTCAATAAAGATTCTATGATTAATTGAAATTTAAATATTCCTTCTTTTAGTTGTTATTTAATTAATAATTAATCTCTGAGTAAAACATGGGGTTATCAGTACTTTCTAGCTACAGATTTGTTGTATGTCAAAGTTATCTGTTATATTATTTATCTTAAGAACACACACAAAATATAGTATCATCTGTTTTGTAAAGGGACATCAGGACATGTAAGTTGCTGTTTAACACATTTTTCTGGTTAAGATTATCAAATCAATATACTCTGTATTAAAGAGAGAGAGAGATGGGTCGATTGGGCGACGTCAGACCAATTATAAATTTATGAATTTATCAATTTTTATTAATGAGAAAATAATCAAGCTAATTCTTTTTGCTTTCTTTATTGTAGATCCTTTGTCACTTGTTAGGGATCACCGCACGAAGGAAATGTTAACTAGCCAAGGGATAACTGTGCGGTCCTTCAACGCCGACTTACTTTATGAACCGTGGGAAGTTCTTGATAGTGAAGGACAGCCTTTCACAACCTTCACAGGTTTTTGGGACAGATGCCTTAGCATGCCTTATGATCCAGAGGCTCCACTTCTTCCTCCTAAAAGGATCATTTCTGGTTTGTTTTCTTCATCTTTCTGTATTCATCTATGGCTCTTTTAGATGTTGAGATCTCTTATGTCGATTGGTCATTTGCTATCATATCCAGGGAAACCTGTAGGTGTGAAAGGTAAAGCAAAACAAAGTGTAAGGGTATGTGTGGATCCCCAATATGCTAGGGAAAGAAAAATCTGCTAGAAGTATTTTATTGTGTTTCACCTCAACCTCATAAAAAATGAATTACTCTGTATGATTAATGTTTTTAAACTCTTTATGTGTTTAGTTTTTTAGTCTTTATATAGTAGAAAAAAAATTAGAAAATGAGTTTGGACATTCCTCAAATGTAAATTCCTGTTTTTTGACCAATACTCCCCCCAGCCTCCCCATGCCCATCTATTCTTCACAATTTCTCTTACACTTTCATCTTTTTTACCTTCCAAAGAGTTTTCCATGTTCCAAACAGACCCCGAGCAAGAATGGAATCTAGAGCTTTCATTGGAGTGAATTGCATTGGAAAGTTATAAAAGTTTCTGCCTACCCTGCTCCGCCCAGCCTAGGCTCTAGACTCTCTTTGTTCTTGTACGTTTTTCTTGTTAATGCCCTACATAATTCCAGTTAGGCCCTGTGCAATCCTAATTAACCTTGACCAGGTGTTAGATGCCAGTTTGCTGCCTAGCAGACTTCTAGTACTTCTTTGTTCTAACGATATTTATTGCAAACTATAAACATATTACCAAACTTTCTTTTGTCTTCATGAAAGCAGCCACCTGTTTTTAGATTTTCAAAAATAATCTTACTGGAAATACGAGCGAAACATAGGTCACATGCACAAATCGGAGTGTCATAGTTTTGTGCTAAAATTAGGGGTGATTCAGTCCTGAAAGAGAATAAAATTAGTTGATAATTCCTCTTAAGAAATAAGGATCATATTTTCAAGGAAAAACCGTGGTAACATAATTTGAAGAAATGTGTTATGTTCTAGTCCTATTTATGGAATTTGAGTGATCTCTGTATGTTGTAGGTGATATCTCCAAATGCCCTTCAGTAAACTTGGTGTTTGAAGATGAATCAGAGAGAGGAAGCAATGCTCTTCTAGCCCGAGGATGGTCGCCTGGGTGGAGGAATGCAGATAAGGCATTAACAACTTTCATAAACGGGCCGCTGATCGAGTACTCAAAGAACCGCTGGAAAGCTGACCGCGCAACAACCTCTTTGCTCTCCCCACACTTACACTTTGGGGAAGTCAGTGTCCGAAAAGTGTTCCATCTTGTTCGCATGAAGCAAGTTCTTTGGGCCAATGAAGGGAACAAAGCGGGTGAAGAGAGTGTTAATCTATTCCTTGAGTCTATCGGGTTGAGGGAGTATTCAAGATATATAAGCTTTAACCATCCATACAGCCACGAAAGGCCGCTTCTCGGTCATCTAAGGCACTTCCCTTGGGTAATTAATGAGGGACACTTTAAGGCGTGGAGGCAAGGGAGGACGGGTTACCCGTTGGTGGATGCGGGTATGAGGGAACTGTGGGCCACCGGATGGTTACATGATCGGATACGAGTTGTGGTTTCGAGTTTCTTTGTGAAGGTTTTGCAGCTTCCATGGAGATGGGGAATGAAGTACTTCTGGGATACTCTGTTGGATGCAGACCTTGAGAGTGATGCTCTTGGTTGGCAATATATCTCTGGTACCCTTCCCGATGGGCGCGAATTGGATCGCATTGATAATCCACAGGTATGGTTTGTTTGGCACGCTATTAGCTTTGTCTAAAGGAAATATTTTTAAAAAAGACTCATTTGGTTAGAGAACTTATTTGATTAGATCGAGTTAATTTGAGAGTAGCTTTTCAACTAAGCTGATTCTTGTTTATAGTCATTTCAACTGTGTTTTTTATTTTAGTTTTTTTTTTAATTCAAGGCCTTTTATGCCATTGTGTATTTGCAAGCTAGTTTTGATTTGACTTTTACCACACTATATATGATCAGCTAGTTTGCTTTAGCTTTACATCTGTAAGTTGTAAACCATGGGATGTAAGTTAATGTGTGTTTAGTAGGGCTTTTTGGAGCTTATAGCTTATTATTGTTACTATTTCATTATTTTAAGTAAGTTAATCTGTAAGTTGTTACTATTGTTATTATTTTAAGATCCAATAAGTTATCAGCTCTCTGCAATTAATAGAGATAAGTCTCGAAAGTTATTTTCAAAAGCCCTCTCCTATACCTTTTCGGAGGTGAGTTCATAATTTTTTTTTCGCACGCATAATCTTGTTGTTTTACTAAACTAGCACCTTTTATCCATCTATAGTCCCTCTAAAGTCTAAACATCAATATTCGTTTATGTCTGTCATAAATTTGCTACTCAACAACTAATTTTACAAACGCCTCTCATCAATTAAAAAAAATAGTATTTCGGCTCCAAGCTACTAACTTTTTATCACTTCGCTATTTTGCAGCTTTTCAGCTAGTATTTTAGCTCTGCATTCCAAGAGTCTAATTAGCTTAGCAGTTGGTTTACCCAACATAAGCATAATGTCATTCTCATTTTGTATCTACTTTTTCACTTTTAGAGTAAGACTTTGGTTTTGGCCACTTTTTGGTACTTTTCGGCTACTTACGCGGTGAAAATCAAAAGTGAAATTATATGGAAAGTTGGAAACTGGTTTGATAAGTAGTCAAAAGTTACAACAAACATATAATTATGCACCAAATGTGGTAAAATGAAATTTGGAGGGTAAAAGCTGGAATCACCTTTTAATTGTGGCAGTGAAACCAAATTTGAAATTTTCTAGTTTTTGTTTATATCTTTGTCTTATGCAGCTAGAAAAGTGAGTAACAAGAAATTGTTATTGTATGTCATTGAATTAAGGATGCAGTTCTGCAACACTTGTTTTCTTTCCCTTTCTTCCATGAGGAAGACAATTACACACAGTTAGTATATACATATACACTCACAGATGCATATCTGAATGTACATAAATGATCCTTTGGCAGTTTGAAGGTTACAAGTTTGATCCGAACGGGGAGTATGTACGCCGCTGGCTACCGGAACTTGCTCGGCTTCCCACCGAATGGATACACCACCCATGGAACGCCCCGGAGTCCGTTCTCCAAGCGGCAGGGATTGAACTCGGATCAAACTACCCTCTCCCGCTCGTCTGGATCGATGCAGCCAAAGCCAGGCTACAAGAGGCCCTCGTCACGATGTGGCAGCACGAAGCCGCCTGTAGGGCTGCTGTCGAGAACGGTGTCGAGGAAGGACACGGCGACTCCAGTGAGTATATCCCGGTCGCCTTCCCCGAGGACATCATGCAAACAACCGATCCGAATGTTGAGTCCCCGCTCAGAAACAACAACCAAACAGCGACTACTATAACCCGCGGCGGCGGTTATCAGGACCAGATGGTTCCCAGCATTACTTCTTCTCTTTCTCGGGGTAGTTCGATGTATCTCAGGAATCCAAATGAGGATAACCGAGCAGAAGTTCCAAGAAATGATAATTTGACTGAAGAAGATCCAAGGAGGAGGAACGGGGCGGGCCAAACAGGCCCCCCTCAACCACCAATTAATGCCCGCCCGAGGAGGAATTCAGAAGACTCCTCCACGGCTGATTCTTCCAACAGCAGCCGTGGCGTGGTTCCTGTGTGGTCCCCGCCGAGTAGTAATTACTCGGCAAGCGATGATAATGTCACCACCAGTTCATCTTATTTGCAAAGGCCACACCGTCAGCTAATGAACTGGCAACGGCAACGGCTGTCTCAGACGGGGTAATTAACTAATCATCATCAAATTTATGTGAAGGAGTTTAAATCTAAAACCAGAGGAGTAAATTATCATAATATCTTGAAATCCCATCAAATGCCGATATGTAATAATTTCATTTCTGTGAACGCATGCAGCAGCTTTATTCTATAAAATGCATACAAACTAATATTGGTTAATAATTGTTTGTATCCCCCTAGAAATAGTAGCTAGCTGGTTGGATTCAATCTTTTAGTGCTGTGAGTCAGTTGAATGTCTCTGATCCAAATATGAATTCTACCACTTGCAGTTTCCCCTGAATCTTTGGTAATCTCTAGTTTCTTCAACTTGATGATAGCAGGTGATGGTTTACAAGATATGACGATCAAGATTTGAGGTTAACAAGATCTAGGTACTACAATGCTAATTAAGCCGATCAACTATCGATCTATGTCTGTGTGTGTATTAGCTGATGATCAGAGTGGATGAGGCAATTCTTTTTCTTTTACTCGTTCCTTTTGTTGTATCATATGGTAGAAAGGGTCTTCTACAACTGAATAGTATACACATTTTGTAAGGGCGAATAATCTTCAAATTGGCTGCAAGTCATGTCATAAACTCTGCTTTAATTTGTGCCTCTCTTCATTCTTGTCTGGGTTGCTGCATATTTTGTTTAACCATGTACACTAATTGCGTGATTTGTATGTAATTGGTCAAAAATTGTATGGACAGAGAGCATTGTTGCTTTTTGAACCGTTGGATTGCCTCCATCAAGAGTATCTCACAGGAAAGTTTAAATGTATCTGTATTACTTTTACTGTTTTCTAAAATGGGTCCAAAGATACTCTCATCAAGGAAGGATAATGTGCAGCGCTGAACACTAGGCTTGAAATCAGGGCTGTCCTTCAGTGAGTTTGAGGCCCTAGTCAAAACAGATTCCTAAAATTATAGGACTACAAACAAAACAGTCAGTCACATCAATCTGACTAATCATCATTAATGATTCAACCATTTCAATTTATCGCCGGTCTCATCCCGTTTAAAGTTTCTCATTACAACTATTTTGATAAATAGTTTTTATAATACTCCCTTCATCCCTAAAAGGATTGACAAGTTTGACTGGCACGTAGAATAATAAAGTAAAAAATGTGTGGTAGAGATTTGTGCAGAAGAGAGAAATAACAGGAGCCACAAATTGATGAATTAAAAAAGAAAGTGACAAAGTTTTTGGGACAACCAAAAAATGAAACTTGTCAAATTTGTAAGGGACAGGGGGGAGTATAATATAATGAGGTTATTATTTTTTTTTTGATCATATGAGGTTATTGATGATAATTGTGATATTATAGATGTATTGTTTTTAATATTTGATGGTTAAGTTTTCATTTAAGAGTGTTAAATATTTTCTAAAATGAAAATGAAAACATTTACACGGGACATCCAAAAAAAGAGTGGGAACCTTAGAATGAGACGGTGGGAATACTACTTAACTTTTATATGTATTTGAAATTAAATTTCTCTTTTTTCAATAGAATAGATTATCTATTTGATTGTATTCTAAAGAAAATGTCATTTCTAAACAATGAACACGTGAACCAAAATAAATAATACGTGCTTATTGTGAAATGAAGAAGATGAAGATCAAATTTAAGAGATAGATATATATAGATAAAAAGCTCTAAACTACTTCTTCTTAATATCTGAATATTTTCTGAATTTTTGAGTTTGTGAGTGAGTTTACAATGAATGAAACAAGCCCTATTTATACTAGCCAAGCTTAGGGATGAATCATCTATGAATGATTCTACATTATTTGCTGGCACTATTGAATCTAGCCATGTGTGTGATTACAAGGATTTGTGTTTGCTTAGTGTCCTGATTAAAGGATGAATATTCACACTTGTCAATTTGGTGGTTTTACAACACTCCCCCTTGAATGTTCATCCTTGAATATGTATTTGTAATTTTAAAAATTTATTGTGATAACGTGTGTGAAAATTAAGGGGTAGATATTACGACTTATAATGTCGTTGTATTTGGATGTACTGTCTCGTTAAAAACCTTATCAGGAAAAACCCAGTTGGATAAAAACCTGATGAAGGAAAAAAGAGTGCAGTGCATTCAAATACTCCCTCTGAACTTAGGCTAAATTTTGAAGGCGACGCATGCCGATTTTCTGTAAAAGTTCTGTGAACTTCTTCGGGGTAAAGATTTGGTGAAGTGATCAGCCGGATTTTCACTGGATCTGATTTGTTGAATGTTGATCGTCCCTTCTTTCTCCAGATTATGAGTAGAGAAGAACTTTGGTGATATGTGTTTCATTCTGTCTCCTTTGATGTAGCATTCTTTAATCTGAGATATGCATGCAGTGTTGTCTTCGTAGATCACAGTCGGGTGACAAGTAATAGGCTTCATACCGCATTCATTTTGGATGTGTTGAATCATAGACCGCAGCCACACACATTCTCTTCCGGTTTCATATAATGCAATCAACTCCGAATGATTTGATGATGTGGCTGTCAATGTCTGCTTCATAGATCTCCATGAGATTGCGGTGTTACCATAAGTAAATACGTACACGGTTTGTGATTTCGCCTTTTGTGGATCTGATAAGTATTCATCGTCTGCATATTCGATTAAAGCAGTTTTTGCATCTTTGTGGTAGAATAAGCCGAGATCAACTGTACCATGTAGATAACGGAATATGTGCTTGATCCCGTTCCAATGACGTCTTGTTGGGCATGAACTGTACCTAGCTAATAAATTTACAGAAAATGCAATATCTGGTCTAGTATTATTAGCTAAATACATTAAAGCTTCAATAGCACTCAGATATGGTACTTCAGGACCGAGTATTTCTTCGTCGTCTTCTCGGGGACGGAATGGATCATCATGTATGTTGAGAGATCGAATGACCATTGGTGAAGTCAAAGGATGAGCTTTGTCCATATAGAATCTCTTCAACACTTTCTCGGTGTAATTGGATTGGTGGATGAAAATTCCATTTTTCAAATGCTCAATTTAAAGTCCGAGACAAAATTTGGTTCTCCCGAGATCTTTCATTTCAAATTCTTTCATAAGATATTTTGCAGTATTTTCAATCTCATCGGGAGTTCCAGTAATATTTAAGTCATCAACATATACTGCAATTATGGCGAATCCTGAATTTAATCGCCGAATGAAAACACATGGACTAATTGGATCATTCTTATATCCTTCTTTTAAGAAGGTATTCACTGAGACGATTACACCACATTCGTCCAGATTGTTTTAGTCCATACAATGACTTTTGTAGTTTAATGGAAAACATTTCTCGAGGTTTCGAGCTATAAGCTTCAGGCATTTTAAATCCACCGGGAACTTTCATATAGATGTCTGTATCGAGTGAACCGTATAAATATGCAGTCACTACATCCATTAGGCGCATTTGCAGCCTTTCAAAAACAGACATGCTAATAAGAAACCTTAATGTAGTTGCATCAACTACTGGAGAATAGGTTTCTTCATAATCAATTCCCGACATTTGAGAAAAACCTTGGGCAACAAGTCGGGCTTTATATCTAACAATTTCATTTTTCTCATTGCATTTACGCACAAATACCCATTTAAAGCCCATTGGTTTTACGACTTTTGGCGTAGGGACTATCGGTCCAAAAACATCACGTTTTTCAAGTGATTTTAATTCAGCCTGAATAGCTTCATTCCATTTTGGCCAATCATGTCGTTTTCGACATTCTTCAATTGATGTTGGCTCGTTTTCATTGTTTTCATTCATAACATTCATGGCACGGTATAGACAAATATCTCATTAATATCAACATCTTTTCGATTCCATTGCATTCCAGTAGAAACGTAGTTTATTGAAATTGCATAATTATCAACGTTTCTATCGTTATCTGGAATATCTTCCTCGTTTAAGGAAGTTGGATCATCAATATTATTTTCTACGCCAGTATTTGAAAATTGTTCATTTTCTTTTTGAGAAGGATGAACATCTTTGGCATCACAGATTAATTCATGTCTTTTAGTTTTTATTGGTTTTATGTCTTTTGATCCAAGTGGCCTGCCACGCCTTTTGCGTGTAGAAGAATCATTTGCAAGAGATTTTTCAGAATTCTCTGCTGGGATTTCGATCTGGGCAGGGGCATTCATGGCAGGAATATATGACTTTGTCACTTTCTTTGTATCTTTGAATGCATCAGGCAACTGATTTGCAACATTTTGTAAATGGATTTTTTTGCACTCTTGCTCACATATATTTGATCTTGAATCGAGATGTGATAATCATGTTGCATTCCATGTAATTTCTTTCATACTTTGGTCTAATTTATTATTTTCTCCCCCCTGAGTTTGGTAACACTGTCTCGTTGAAATGACAGTCTGCAAACCATGCTGTGAATAAGTCACGAGTCATCGGTTCGAGATATTTTATTATTGAGGGAGATTCAAATCCAACATAACTTCCCAACCTTCTTTGAGGACCCATTTTTGTACGATGGGGTGGAGCAATCGAAACATAAACAACACAACCAAATATATTAATGTGTGCTAAGTTTGGCTCTTGTCCAGTAACTAATTGCATTGGGAAATATTCATGATATGCAGTCGGTCTAAGTCGAATTAAATTTGCTGCATGTAAAATAGCATGCCCTCAAGCCGATGAAGGTAAATTGCACTTCATTAATAATGGTCTAGCGATTAATTGTAATCGTTTAATCAATGATTCAGCAAGACCATTTTGTGTATGGACATGAGCAACATGGTGCTCCACATCAATCCCAATCGACATACAATAGTCGTTAAATGATTGGGATGAAAATTCTCCTGCATTATCAAGTCGGATTCTTTTTATAGAATGATCCGGAAAATGAGCTCTTAATCTTATAATTTGAGCAAGGAATTTTGCAAATGCTAAATTTCTAGTCGATAAAAGACTAACATGTGACCAACGTGTTGAAGTATCAATCAACACCATAAAATATCGAAATGGTCCACATGGTGGGGCTATGGGCCCACAAATATCTCCTTGAATTCTTTCCAAAAATGCAGGTGATTCAGTTGCAATTTTGTTTATAGAAGGCCTGATGATCATTTTGCCAAGAGAACAGACCTTGCAAGAAAAATCACTTGATAACGGAACCTTGATATTCTTTAATGGGTGTCCAAGTGAAGTCTTAATGATTTTATGCATCATTACTTGGCTTGGGTGACCTAAATGGTCATGCCACAACATGAATGCTTTCTGATCATCTAACTTTGTGTTAGAAACCAAATTTATTTCGAATGGACTAATATGAGTGAAATATAGTCCTGAGGAATATGCTGGCATTTTCACAAATACATTTAGTGCCAGATTTAGTTGTCGTTAGACAAAGATATTCCTTTTGGTTTCCATTCACGGTTTCTATGTGATAACCATTTTGACGCATATCTTTAAAACTTAATAAACTCCTCCGCGATTTGCTGGAGTATAAAGCGTCATTTATAATTATTTTGGTCCCGTTAGGGAGCATCACATATGCTTTCCCAGAGCCTTCAATGAGCTTCGCAACACCTGATATGGTATTGACTTTAGCCTCAACTAAAGTCATTTGAGAGAAATATATTTTATTTCTCAAAATGGTGTGCGTTGTGGCGCTGTCTATCAGACATAGCTCTTTATCATTTGAGTGATCCATATCTTCAATATATATAAATAAACACAAATTATGCATATTATTTAACATAAGAGTATATACATTACACATATTTATTTAAAAACAAAATAAAAAAGGAAAGAAAGAAAAAGTACACAAAACTATTATTATACAACATAAG